AAAAAAAAAAAAAACACATTCTCTACATCTCTGTCATTTTGTAGCCAAGGGACCTTTAGGAAGTTACTCAAAGACTCAGTAAAATGGTCTGTTATGGAGATTAAATAAGAAAAAAATATGTGGAGATTAGTAAGCACAATAAATTTTAGTAATAGTAGCAATAGTAGGAGTAGTGGTGTTATAGTAGTTAAAATGTTAATGGCACATATTTACATAATACATTGTTAGATGGCTCCTGAAGAAGCACAATGGTCCCACATATGGTTTTCAGTACACTCTGTAGACCTCGGGTGAGGATGGGGGTGGGGGTGGCACATCTCTTGAAGGCATGGCAGCTGGAGAGTGCTGATGCAGGGGTGGCACATCTCTTGAAGGCATGGCAGCTGGAGAGTGCTGATGCAAAGTAGGCAGAATAATTTTGATATTATCTGTTTTGTATATGGTGCTTGGCATTCCTTGAAATAAAAATATCAGCAGCTTTAAGAACAGAGATTGAAAACCACTGTTTTCTCTGAAAGAAATGACTCCTCATAGTGGAAATGTGTCAGGTATAGAAAGAAGTATTTGGGGAAGCTGCTCTCCTGAATCTGACCATTTGGGACCCTGTCTACTCTATTCTACTTGGTGTCAGGCTGACCTTGTGGAAGGAGAGACAGACTTAATGTCTGCTTCAGAGAAAGGATAATTGTGCTTCCAGCCTATCGGAGAGAGGCTTTGCTGGTTTGTACCTCAACAAAAGCACTACTAAATGCCCTGAGAGTCATAAGTGTTATTTATTCTTTGCCTGCATGAGGAAAAATAGAAACATCTGGAAATGGGAGGAAGAAACGTTTTACATTTGAAATGTTTCCAAACTGGTGTTCTTTATTTTATTTTAGGGAATAACTGTGGCTTTTCCATGCTTATTCAATAATTACTTCCTTTGCAAACATCAAATGATTTTTTTCATGTGTGGAAGAGTGTGCATGAATGATAGTGCTCAAAATAACCCTTGCTGTTCTCACATAGCACATGTTCTTTTGATATTTTTAGCATATTGCAGTTGACAAATGAATACTAATCACTGATTTCTCTTCACTCTTTCCCCCTTTTTAGGCCCTTGAGGAAAATCTACTTGATCAAACATCTGATAGTCACAAATTTGAAACCATGCTTCAGAATCCCAGCACATAGTAAAAGGAAAAGACAACACGAATAATTATACCTGTCAAGAAGCTGTGAACACATGGTGTTTAAATTCTTTACAAGGCAACTCGACACTTTCTTTCTCTGGGCTTGAACCCGCACTGCTCACGTGCTCTTTACACACATAGACCTTCCATTCGCTGCAGTGGGAATTCTCAGTGTGTAGAGGGAGAGATTTTCCAGTCTGCAGACTGAAACAGTATGAGAAGAATAAAGTCTGTGACTTTTGACTATATCACCAGGGGCAGAATTAAGTGAATCTTTGGTCTATAGCTTTTCCAGAGATTAACAAACTCCTCGTTAGGCTATAATTCAAACTGCATCAGTTCAAGGTTATCACCACTTGAAAGAAATCTACACATTGCCCCACTACCCTGACCTGTTCCACAATCCATATTGCTGAGTTGTCTGAATTGGAATTCTAATTCATTGCAAATTCAACCTCTATTCTCCTCTTGAAAATAGCAAGTTATTATACTATATTTATACTCTCTTCAGGTTCTAGAAGCAATTGGCTTTTTATTTTTTGTTTCCATGAATTTTTTTATGCATTAATAGAGTGGAGCAATTTTAGCTCAACTTTTAGTTTGTTAGAAGCGAGGGTAGGAACTCTAGTACTCTATTTTTTTTATTTGTGTTACTTGTATCTATCATTACTAATTCTAACAGAATATAATATATATTTATTCCACATAATATGTATTATCAGAGCGCATTTGTTGCAAATTAGATTCTTCTCTTACCAAGTGTTATGAATCTAGTAAGAGAATATTAGCAAAGGACCTAGCTTCGTGAACTGATCCCTTTATGATATGTATATATACAACCCTGCCCTCAACATTTTCTTGTTAAGTTTTATGTTTTTTGATTGATGAACTCTGAAGAAATCTAAACTCTTTCTACCTGCACTGATGTGCTGTCATACAAGTCTATTTGATATTTTAAAGCTTAGGGCTTTACAAAACTAAATTATAATATCTATGCATATATATATACAAATTTAGAAGTCACACAAAGTTTAGATCAGTTTCCCCAAACATAACTGGATATTTTAGCACTCTGAAATCAATGGTGTTATTCCTCTTAAAACTAGGCATATGAAAACCAGTGATATCAGTATTGTGAATGACAGATGCTGCTTCCTCCAG